TGCCCTCCCTGCCAGTGCTCACAGACCCCATCCCACCTGCTGTGTGCTCAGCTCTGCCCTGCAGAAACCTCCTGCAGCTGGGCACTGCCCAGGGGCATCTGTATGTGTGCAGGGGCTCAGGAGAAGCTCAGACTAGTCCTAACAAGAACTGTTTTCTGTATGGCTTCTCCTCAGGGGAGAACGAAGGTCCACTCCCCTCCCTTTCCACCCAGACAAGCAAGTAGAGAAAAGTCAAAGTGCAGACTGCTGATCTTTCATGTAAAGACTGACTTGATGTCCATCTTCAAAAGGACTCTGTGGAAATGCCCTGGGGGTGACTTGGACTTTTGAGTATTGCTGACCTGTACAGGACCTTCTCGAGAGCAGTAGGATCCTGCTTGCTGGGCATCACCTCTGGCGCACGCAGCTTCTCCCTGTGTTGTTGTGGGGAGCTCCCCAACAGGCTGAGTGCTGACCCTGGCAGGTGGCAGAGTCCCTGCCCTGGCACACAGCCCCTGGGGTGCAGGACCCTGTTCCGAAGGACAACCCTGGGCACTCCTGACAGCCCACTCAGCTTCACAGCCTGCAGCCATCCCCTGGAAAGCAAGCTGTCCTACCCTGTCACTCTGATGATAAAGCAAGGAATACCTTCTCTGGAACTCATCCTTCTCCTCCACATCAACCGTGGGATGTGCCACGGGGATCTCTCCACAATGTTCTGTGCTTTCCTCATGACAATGAGCAACTGTCATGAGTCTAACTCACTGTCAATGAGTCTAACTCATTCTAGACTGCTTTTAAGCTCTCTCTGCCACTCTCGTTTCCCGTCTGTGCTGAAGTCTGTGCCCTGAGCCCTGCTGTGCTGTGCAGAGGAGCTGCTCTGGGCAGAGCTGGCTCTCTGCTTTCTGTGCTCTCTTGTTGCCATGAGCTCCCTGTGTCCCAGGACCCTGGCCCAGATCAGCAGTAAATGATCAACTAACAGCAGAAATAACCCCTGACATTCCCTCCCTCAGCAGGGTGAGACCCTTTTTTCTAGCAGTGAAGTTTCTTCGGTTAAACAAACCGCTTGTCATGAGAATCATGTTTTTTTCTTTAATCCTTAGACAGGAGAACAGGAAAGTTAAAGGAAAGATTCTTATTTCTCTAAGCTTCGGGAAATTCTACTTGCAGTTTATAGAATTCAGGCATTTCAAGCTGGGTTTGTAGTCCAAGGGCCAAAAGGACATTCAGAATTCCTTTGTCCATGCCATGTCTCTGCTGGGAAGCCAAACCTTTGCACACACAAGATCTTGACATGTGTTACCAGGATTCCTTACAGCAAGAAGGAGCTTGCCTGGTGCCACACCTGGGGTGCTTTAACCCAAGGGTGAAGCAATGATCTCAGCAAGGGGCACAGACAGGATGAGTTGGAACAGTTACTCTTGGAGACTGGGCAGGGACACTGATGGAATCTCTTGCCAAAGCCTGGTGGTAGAGCTCAGTCCATCTGGTCTTCAAGGACAGCATCTTCCAAGCACAACAATGATTGAGATCCAAACTCAGTCTAAACTTGAAAGGCAGTTCAAGGGAACCGTAAACGTTGTTTTACCACTCCAGGAACAGTTAAAGAAGATACCAAGATACTGTACAGACACTGCTGAATGTACGAAGAGGAAGTGTAGGTAGATTTGACATGCTCTACTTTCACAGAATCACACAATCACTAAAGTTGGAAAAAACCTATAAGACCCTCTAGTCCAACCATCAGCTCAACACTGCACCATGTCTACATGTTCCTTGAACACCTCCAGGGATGGTGACTCCACCACCTCTCTGGGCAGTCTGTTTCAATACCTGACCACTCTTTCAGTAAAGAAGCTTTTCCTAATATCTAATCTGAACCTCCTCTGATGAAATTTGAGGCCATTTCCTCTTGTCCTATCACTGGTTACCTGGGAGAACAGACCAGCACTCGCCTCCCTACAACCTCCTTTCAGAGAGCTGTAGAGAGCCATCAGGCCTCCTCCTCTCAGCTTCCTTTTCTTTAGGCTAAACACCCCAGCTCCCTCAGCTGCTCCTCATCAGACTTGTTCTCCAGACCCTTCATCAGCTTTGTCACCCTTCTCTGCACACGTTCCAGCATCTGTATGTCCTTCTTGGCGTGAGGGGCCCAAAACTGAACACAGGACTCCAGTTACATCCTCACTAGATCCCAGTACAGGGGCACAATCACTGCCCTGCTCCTGCTGACTGCACTGTCTTTGGTACAGGCCAGGGTGCTTTTGGCCTTCTTGGCCAGCTGGGCACACACTGGCTCATATTCAGCCATTCATTCAGCCACCATCAATCAACACGCCCAGATCTTTTTCTAGCTGACATCTTTCCAGCCACTTGTCCCCAAGCCTGTACCGCTGCCTGCGATTGTTGTGACCTAAAGGCAGGACTGGGCACCTGGCCTTGTTGAACCTCATACAATTGACTTCAGCCCATGAATCCAGCCTGTCCAGGTCCCTCTGCAGGGCTCTGCTACCCTTCAGCTGATCAACAATTCCACCCAACTTGGTGATGTCTTCAAACTGACTGAGGAAGCACTCAATCCCCTCATCCAGTTAATTGATAAATAAGACCGTACTCCCACTCGAGGATGCCGCCATCCGTGTCTCCAGCTGCAGGGAGGGCCTGAGCCTGCCTGTGTGAAGTGTTAACAGGTCGATGATCTGCTCAGCATGGTGGCAGACCTGAAGGAGGAAGTGAAATGGATGAGAAGTATGAGGGAGTGTGAGAAGGAGAGAGGTTTTGCCTCCACCAACCTACCACCCTTGAGGCAAAGGCAGATCATGTCCCACACCTCACAGTGGATCCCATATCCTCTTGCCACCGGGTAGATGGAAGGAACTTACTCCCTGGGGAGGTAAGCGCATCCCCTCCTGCCCTCCTCATCTACCCTGTTGCCCCTGCAGAACAGATATGGGGCTCAGAAACTCAAGGGCCAGGCAATTGTGGATGCGGAAGAAGGCTAGCACAGGGGGTTGCCTGGAAAGACTCCATCAGCTGCATGCATTACGACTGCCTCCATTAAAAAAAGGAGAGTCACTCTCATCGGCAATGTCACCCTTCTGACAGTGACAGAGGGCCCAATAGGCTGACCAGACCCATCACACAGGGAAGTCTGCTGCCTCACTGGGCCCAGGTTAGAGATATCAACTGGAAACTCCCTTGACTGGCATGGTCATCGGATCATTACCTACTGCTGGTAGTGCAGGTGAGTAGTGACGAGGCAGAGGAGAGGAATCCAAAAGAAATCAAAAGGGACTTCAGGCCTACAGTCCCCAGTACATCGTGAGTTATCTCTTGGAGGCTTTCCCCAATTACACCTCTCCCTTTTTCCCCTTGGGGACAGAGCCAATAGACGAGAGGTTATTTGGTGCTGGGGTGGATGTGGAAAAATTTTTTCAATTTTTTCCTTCTCCTCTTGGTCCTATGTCAAAGGCAAAGAAGTATTTAGGAAAACGTTCATGGGGTTGGGGTGACCTGTGGCCAGGGAACAGCATGCTAGTAAATGTCCTAGTGATTTTGTGAAAAGTTAAGGAAATGTTTGGGAACACTACCCCATCTGCTACCAGTGCCGGGGGCAGACGCAGGATCTGTGCAGCCACCTGAATCACCCGAATGCATAAGTGAGCAGCATGGACCCACACAGGGAGCAGGCTGGGAACCCAAGGCTGCGCAGGTGCAACTGGGACTGCAACCACACCTGCGTCACCACCCCCAATGCCTGTGTCCCCGCCACAGTGCCTGTGTCCTCGCCCCCAGTGCCTGCATCATTGCCCTCAATGCCTGCATCACCATCCACCATGCCTGCATCATTGTCACCACCTTCCACCACAAACAACCTGTCTCCCACTGCAGTCAGTCCCCCTCCCAGAGCAGCTCCACTTCCACAAACTCCTGTGTGCTGTTGCCATTGTCAGCCAGAGCCAGTGTAAGTGGCCCCAGTGCAGAAAAAGAAATACACATGTAAATCGGTCCACATAGTAGAGGATGATGAGGTAGCAGGGCCATCCTGGGTGACAGAAACAAATAGTAAGAAGATGGGAGCAGGGCTGTCTCAAGAGTCAGAGATGGAGGATAAAGCAATTGTGACCATGCAGTCTTGATCCCTGAGGGAGCTATGGGATATCCGTAGAGACTTCAGTGCCTGCGCAGGTGAACATATGACCTGGCTGCTCTGCTACTGGAATAATGGGGCCAGTAGTAATGAGCTGGGGGGGGAGAGGCTAAACATCTAGGGTCGCTTGCCAGAGAAGGGAGCAGTGATACAGGAATTGGATGTAGACCACAAAACATAAGCCTCTGG